AGTACCCTGTGGGTTCAATTGACCACGTAAAGCGGGGTACAACTGTACTTATTTTTCTAGGGTATACAAACTAGGTTTTATTACTTTTGAAGAATAATGGAAAAATTGACAGTGCACAATATAGAAAAAATGAAGAATTCGTTGTTCTCACTTTTAGTTTGTGAGAATTGTAGTACTGTTAAAGCTACCATACATGATATGTTTTTAGTTACCCCCAAAAAAAGACAAATATTTAGATAATGTATATTGTGTAACCATACTACAAAGTCTCGCCCAAAAGTTGGTTAACTCCCACAGCCAGCTATTGCTACACCTGCTTCAGATGTTTGAAACTGTCTCAGCACCAACAGAACATGAAACCGATAAAATGAATCTAAAGGTTCTAAGTAACAGACTCGAGTTCATACATCTAAAGCAAGCAGTGCAGCAATAGCTGGCTGAGGTAACCAACTGGCGAACTGTACTATTATATGTTTACAACAGGTATTTCTGTGAAAGGACATGATGTGTAGTGATAACCTACAGTTTACCGCCTACTTGCTGTTTCATACTTAACGTTTCGCATCATGATGCCTTGCCAAAGCTGAACTTTTCACTTAAGAGGATTTTTTTTCCATATCTGCGGTGAGTGTCCGGTAGATGCCCCACCCACACCCTGCCTGACTGCCTGTTTTAGCTCATAAAATTCATACAAATTACCAGGCCAGAATATAATTTACATTGCTGGAATTCTTATAATTTGGTGATCATTTTGAATATAAACATCATATATTTTGCTTTAAACTTACAATTTTTAGATAAAAATTTTTCTCTAGGTAACTATGGTATCTTTTGTCCAAATTATATGACATTTATATTCAAAATATTCCTGGTCTTACAAGGAATCCAGCAATGTCAATTATATTATCTAACTTTAGTTTGAGGTATATTTATTAAAATTTAGTGGTTATCCCACACATCTCCTTGGGACGGTGGTGGGGGGTGGGGGGAGGAGGGACCGACCGACCATCTGTTACCCTGTGAAAATTATTTTTTTTTATTAACTGAAGATATTTGTTTTGCTCATAAAATTCATACAAATTACCGGTCAGAATATAATTTACATTGCTGATTCTTATAATTTGGTGATCATTTTGAATATAAACATCATATATTTTGCTTTAAACTTACAATTTTTGAATAAAAATTTTTCTCTAGGTAACTATGGTATCTTTTGTCCAAATTATATGACATTTATATTCAAAATATTCCTGATCTTACAAGGAATCCAGCAATGTCAATTACATTTTCCTAACTAGTTTGAGTTATCCCACATCTCCTTGGGGCCGGTTGGTGGGGGGTGGGGGAGGAGGGACCGACCGACCATCTGTTGAACTGGCTGTGTAGTGTGAGAGGGGGAGGAGTTGAGTCCATTATTTGAATGGACATTAACTTGGCGACTGTATTCTCTATTTCTCTTAAGTATTAATTGTGCATGTACCATCATAAAATTAAGATGTTATTTTACTACATAGGTATGTGCCTTCAAAAGTGGGTTGGGGGTGGGGCGGTTTCTATTGGAATTAATCATATGTTCTGTTGTTCATACTTGGTTCACTTAGCAGGACCCTCTGGGTTCAATTGACCGCGTTAAGTGGGACAACTGTATTTACTTTTTTCTATCACATTCTCAGTAATGTACAATTGTTTCTTTTTCAGCTCAGAAGAATAATGACAAAATTAGAAAGGCACAAAGCACAAAATATAAGGTGTCCACTCCTTTGTTAATCAAAAGGTTTAGACATGTATTCAATTTTGCATTTTATAAATGAAAGATTTTTATATTTAATTTTTTTATTTTATGCTGCCTACATTTGAAAAGTTTAGTTCCTATTTGTCTGTCTTTTTCAGAATTTTAATTGCCATAACATCCTGGCTCTAATTATTATAATTATTGTTTCTTATTATAGTAGTACCCCGATTTACGGTCAATTGAACCCATAGGGTACGCGGAAAGTGAAAGCTAGCGTAAAGTGAACAACAGAACATATGGGATTAATTCTAGAGACTGGCCCGACCCGAAACTCCACTTTTTCAGACAATTACTCGTTAGTAAAAATAACATCTTAATTTTATGATAACACACAATTAATAATTAAGAAGAAATATCATTAGGTTTTAACACTTACATTAGGAGAAAAAGATGGCTGGGCACATGGGTATGGGGGTTGGTTCTGAGGCAGAGGGCAGATTATTGGCCCTCACCTGTATCCTTGTATCAATTGTATCACTATCCAACATAGGCTTGCAGGGCCTCTTTGTCAAACCCTCAAGTCCATATCCTCACTATCATTATCACTATCACTGACTTGGGCGGCTGTGGGTGGGTGGCGGGTGAAAGAACTTCGGTAATGTTTTTTGATGACTGGGCAATGGCGCATCCTGCCGCGCCGTTTCCCAGCGTATATGAGTAGATGCACGCGTAAAGTGAAAGTCGGTTCTGGCGGAGGTACAGCGTAAATCTAAATCATGGAAAGTGAAACAGCGTTAAGCGAGGAATTACTGTATATTATTATATATTTTTATTCAATGTTTTATTAAAAACAATTTTATTAATTATTATTTATTATTAGTATTATATTTTCGTCCCGGGCCCCGATGTGGGCTGACCTGTGCCCTGGTGGGCTAATCCTGTAAAAAAAAAAAAAAAAACTCACAGATTGGTCTGGAGTGATAGTGGTGGAGGCGCTATGGGAGATGTGGCTATAGTGACGAATCTTGTGTTACTCAGGCTGGACCTCGCTAATCCTGGAAGCTTGGGATCGAGCCAGTTCGATTAGCGAAAATTCTGAATAAAATGTCACTGGCTCGACTTAGCAGAATATAACTTACATTGCTGTAATTCTTGTAAGATAGTGATCTATTTTAGTATAAACATACTATAGTTTGCACTAGACATATATTTTATTAAATTAATTTAGTAGAGTAAGTCCTGCGCTTAGTTCCCTCTTAACGTTGTTTCAGTACTACGTCGCTGAACTTAAGAGACCAAAAATTCGATTAACGTCCGGGATCCGATACTATGTCGTTTTTGTGTTGTCACCGACTACTTTCTCTGACATCACCGCTCTTGTCTGGGAGCTACGCTCTCTCCGCTCGGAGCGCTGCCCTCACTAAGCTTAACATCATAAGCGTCCCCAAGTGATGCCAAGCCAATCTCTGTTAGGACATCACATCATTTGTGTGAGCTTAAGTGCTTTTGCTCTAAAACTGTACTATAACCATTCAAAATGTCTTTCAAGCACCCATCAGGTGCCACTGATGCTAGTGTAGTGAAGAGGCAATGTAAGACCATTACCTGGCTACAAATGTATGTAATATTAACTTGAAAGGAGCGTGCTGTGGACATAGCCATTGTTGGTCTAACCCCCTGGCGGTGCGTATTATCGACAGCGCTGACAAGATTAAGGTTAGTGCTGGAAGTGGTTCTTCTCCTAGTGCTACTGTGATAAAGAAGGTGGAAAGGATGCTGGCAATGTGGATGGAGGACCAGAATCAGCATAATGCCTGTGAGCCTTGATTTATCCAGCATAAGGCCAGATCCTTGTTTGATGACATGAGGAAAACAGAGGGTGAAGGATCGAAGGAAAGACCTTTACAGCCAGCCAAGGCTGGTTTCAACAATTTAAGCGTTGGTATGACTTCACAACATAAAGATGACTGGTGAAGCTGCCAGTTCAGATACAGTTCCTGCGAGACATTCCGCCAACAGCGGAGGAGGAGCAGCGGCGGAGAACTAGTCAGAACAGGAGGAGGAAGAGGCAGCTGCAGAGTCTCAGTGACTCGCCACCCTCCTCCTCTCCACCCCTCACCTCCGCTCCCACCATCCTCCTGCTTTGCTCCACTACCCACCACCTCACTCTACCACCTTAGCCTATCGGTGAGTACCAATACAAACTTAGTACAATACTGTAGTTCTATATACTATTTTCTATAGAAATGGCAATGATTTTCAGTGTATGTAACTTTTTCCATGGGGCAAGGGGCTGAGGCATTAACTCCTGTTTATCTATTTCTTATGGGGAAAATTGATCGCTTAGCACTGCATGCATAGCGTCGCATTTTCAGGGCGTAACCCAGGCGTTAGCGAGGATGCCTGTACAATTGAGTGCAGGTTTGCCCTTAGGACAATTATTTCTTTTACTTTTATCTGTGACAATATGGTATGCGTGTAGTGAGTAAAAATAAATGAAGAAAGTCATGTATACCTGAAAATAGGAGTTGAAAAACAACCATAACACCACACAGCTTGGCCCAGTAGTCTGGTGGTTACAATGATAGGTTTAACCTGGCTACAATGCCATGATTAATCACTATTAAATCCGTAAACACTAATAATAATAGACCCAACCAGAATATGGCAGGGAGCAAAGAGGAGTTTCAAGAGCAGGCGCTTGCTCCCGTAGCCAGGTGTATGATCGAAATACAATTCGTATTAGAAATACATATCGTGTAGTCTAATATGAAAATGGTGATGGGCCCAGTGATAAACAAATTATATAAACCTTACATTTACCTATGATAACATAATAAAAACACCATCATTACTGGGTGAATGAAAGATTATTCCCACAAACAACAATTGACAACTCTGGCGACTCCTTAGCAGTGCCTCTCCGCTCCCTTTTCCGCTCACGGTTTTGGTCTGTTAACTTGCAATAAATGTTTATTCTCAAAAACTTCCACTTCTGTCTCTTCCCTCACCTCTTTCCCAGCCCTTCTTTCACTATTCTGCCCTCCCTTCTCTCTTCCAGGGAATGTGCGAGAAATAGATGGAGGAAGGAATGTGGGAGGAAAAGAAATGGGAGCCAAGTTTCAATGTGCATCTGGATGCAAAATTCAATGTCACCAGACCATTTACACCTATGTGTATACTTATTCCTTATGCTGACTGTACATAAACAAAATTCAAATGTATTAGGGAAACAAAAGGAATATTCACAAACTATAATCAATATTACCTTGATAACAGCAGTCATTATGACAGGCTGTGGATGATTTGCCATCACTATTGCCTGGTCCATATACAGGGCCTCTGTTAATAAGGTTCTGGTAGTGGTGTCAGAAGAATATTTCAGCACTGTTTCCAGCATCTCTAAGACCCCACCACCACCTGTGTGAGGCAGGAAAGATTAACACGACTGGCGCTCTCATCTTCCTCGACTGTTTCATCTTCTTCAGTCTCACGATTTCTTCTGTCCATTTTGTTGACTTTCTAACAGGTTGTTCTTCTGTTTCTGTTCTTTCACTGTCTGTAGAGATTCCACCTCAATCTCTTGACTCACTCGATGTGATACTTTTGTTTCTTTTACACACTTCTCCTGATCTTCTGGTGTGAGTACATCAACTTTACTTGAGAATCCTCTCACATATATCTTCTAGACCCTTATTTCGAGTGAACATCAGCAGGTGTTACTATTGTTGAAATGATTGACTCTCTGTGGTGCACAAACTGGCCGACTACTTGGTCCTCATTACAGATAAAGAACTCTCATTGGTATTACTGGTGGCGTTCTTACTCTCATCCCATCGGTGTTATCTTCTTCCTCCGAGCTCGTACACGTTCTTCACTATGGAACCTTCCTTCTCAACTTCCTTATTATTTCTTCTTTTTGTTCTTGTCTCATCTGTTGCAGTTGAAGGAAGGGGGTTGCTATTGTCAATCACTTGCCAGTGCAGTCTAGGAGGAAGGTTTTAGGTCTGATTTAGTATGGTGACAAAGGGCAGGATTCTTTGATAATGGATAAAAGATAAGAAAATAGAAAAAGTAAAAGGTACAAAACATTTAATCAAGCCTACACTACTTAATACACAATGGAAAGACCAATCTAAGATGAAAATAAAAAGCAACCAAGTAGTGTACAGTATTACAATGGACTCTAAAAATAACAAGATTTCCTCCGATTGCTTTTAAAGAAGGTGACTATTAGAAATATAATAAACTTAAGCTAAAACAACAACAGCTGAGCTAAGCAATAATGAGGATAGCAGACCATACAATATACTGTAATGTGGACAAAGTTGAATATATTCTTTTAAAAGATTATGATATAGGATTAGTGTTCAGCATTCACAACTCATAGGGAATCATATGGTATACTACAGCCATGGACGAAATACAATTAGGTGTTACAGTAATCTACAGTGTTTATTGAGGTTATTCCATGACTGACTCATGATAAAAGTAACATCAACTAAACAAGACTTTAATCAACTAGTGATTATCGTTATTCTCAAGACTGATATCAAAACAACCCTTGTAAAATAGAAGAAAAAATATATAATACAAAAAACACAAGTACTTACCTCAAACTGTGCTAGAGATGAGGTTTTTCCAGGGCAATCCATCAATTCTGCAGCTAAGTCCACCCCAACTGCAATGTATGATCCTGAAAACATCGCACTCATTAATTAGGTGTCCAAAGACATACAGACAGATCAATAGATAGACAGACTATTACATATATTGTACAGGTATGGTACTGTATACCTGGCATCGGTAGAGCATCTGGAATGCTCCAAGCTAGCTATGTTCTGGAACTAATTACTGTACTCACTTTGTATTCAAATGTACTAAGTTAATTAAAAAAAAATTAAATGTCCATTGCAAATTATGGGATGTTTATACTCAAATTTATTTCTATCTTGCAAGAATTTCAATAATGCAAGTTATATTCTGCTAAGTCAAGTCAGTAACATTTTACAAGTGAAAAACTATCCATCTATTTTTTAGATTTTTTTAGGGTGCCCCGAGAATAGTTTATTGGGCACCTTACCTCCTGTGCAAGGTGAATCCAGAGCGTTTACAGCACTCCATCAGGAAGCATGCAGAGTTCATGCTTGCCTTTATGACTCATTAGGGAGTAAAGCCTGAAGGGTCATGGGTTTGTCAGCAAGTTACATAAAGTGACAGGATGATGAGTGTATGGGGGAAAAAAATTCGGTACAATTTATCTGCTTATGGCAAAGTGTGGCAGGTCCCTAATAATGTCAAGTGCCAGGCCTGTCACTAGGAGGAAGGATATCTGGTCAGGAAAGGAAGAAGTTGGTACAATGTGGCTGGGGACCTGTAGGAGGAGGAGGTCATAGGGCAAGTGAGGATGTAGTGGTCAACAGGACTCTCACACCCTCTCGACCAAAAGTTTACAAACAAGATGCGGCCAGGCTCAGGGTTGCCAATGTACTAGGTGGCAGTACAATGGGGTAGAGGTGATATGGTGTGGTGGGACAGGTTGCAGTAGGGTGGAGGGAGGCACATAGGCATTGACAATATTGAGGACATACTTTTAGTGTGATTGTGATGGGCGTGTGCGTTGACATGCCGGATTGAATTAGGGTAGGGGTGGTGTCCTCAGGTCCAATAGGTAGCCCTGGTGGAGCAGCACAGACACAGGAGCAGGTCAGGCTGCGAAGGGTGGAGGAAAGGTTGAGGCACACGTGGCCGGTGAAGATGAGGCAGGACTTGCTCGGGGCAGCAGAACACACCAGGGCAGGCCGGTGGGCGCCAGTAGTGAAGGCGCCAGCGGTGGAGTAGGCCGTGAGCAAGGGACTCACGGGGGACTACCAGCTTATGTCAAACCAGAAGGAGAGGAGTGACTGGGTGGCAACAGAGGGCAAGAGAGTATGGGAGATGGTGGTACAGAGTGTGGAAGAGTTTTTCAATACAGGTTGGTAAATTCTTGGAAGAGGGATATGATCTGTGTCACGTCACTGGAGGGGTTGTGAGGGCACCGGTGGGAGCAAAAGGCCTGACAGCGTGAGGCTGGAGACGAGGGAGAGACCAGTAGTGAGTTGAGTTAGAGATGGCGGGACTGCTGTGTTGCAGCCAGGTGAGCAGGAGCAGGTGTTGTTGAAAGAAGGCGTTGCTGGAGACAGGGCGCAGAGGAGGAGGCGGTGGTAGCCGGACGGGGGGATTATAGTGGCTTGACCTTGGGAGGCTTTTCCCCTGGAACAGGCGGCGGTGGGGCATTGCCGTGAGTCAGCATTGTGCCGGCACGCACAGTTACAACACCTGGGATCAACTACAGGTACTCCTCGACTTCGACCATCCAGACATACCAAAATTTTGTCAAATTCGTATTTTCGAGTCTCGGCGTTAGTGAGTGTGCTATGTACTGACAAAATTTTCATTTGTAATTCCCTTTAAAATGGCTGCAGAAAGCAAAGTAAAGAGTTTGTGGTGCTGAGAAAAATGAACTCATTTTAGATTTCTATGTATTATTTAAGCATTTTCGACTTCTGACCTGAATTTGGGTCCCTACCCGTCATAAGTCGGGGACTGCCTGTACATAGCCCACCACCCCTATTAAGGTGGTCTTTGATTTTCTGGGCACAGGCGGCGGAGTTATGGTTTCGTGAAAAAAGCGACATCTGGGACGATCACGTCGGCAGCAGGCAGTAAAGGTGTGACCCCAATGAGAACAGAAAACACAAATGCAGGTCAGGATGATAGGGTTCTGCATAAAGTGGAGGGAGGATTGGGTTGGCCTCCACAGTGGTTGGGCATTCCTTCCTTCACTTGATAATGACAACAGCTTGTGTAGTCTTCCCCGTAATGTCGACATATATTGATTATACAGTCGGCCCTTGACATATGCGGGTTTAGCATACTGCGGATTGCCCGCGGAATATTCTGTACATTGAAATGGTTAAGTACATTCAAATGAGTGACACGAACACTGCACCGCCCGTTACACACATAATCCGCCACCCGCGCTCCCTCACTCAGTCAGTCTGCGCTGTAACACGCTTGTGTTGACATCAGCATTGTAGTTGCAAAAATATTTACATTTCTGTGAATGCATTATATCAAGCACAGTATGAATAGAATATCACTAATATAACAGTATTTTAACAGCTATTAAAACAAGAGTAACATATCTTCAACATCGGAAGGTTAGGAAAAGTCTTTTGTTTTCATGTAGTTTATCCTAATTTACATTTGAAATACATTACGTTTCAGCAAAACTACAATTTATTTATGAGAATATGGAAAAGTAATATTTTTGCTGAAATGACATTCGTATTACAGTGGAAAGTGGTGAAAAGCAATGACTTTCACTTTCTTTCATTCAAAAGATGTACATGTCGCTTTTGAATGGTTTCAGTTAAAAACTGTTGTACTACAAAAATATTCTATCCTAATTCACGATGCAACAGTTTTTAACTGAAAACCATTGAGCGATTCACGGTAAAATCTTTTGAGCAATGAATCATTGTTTCGTCAGATTTTATCCACTTTCCTATATCGTCGTCATTTCAGCAAAAATATTACATTTCCGTGAATGTAGTATAATCAAGCACAGTATGAATAGAATATCATTGTAATATTAGAGTATTTTAACGAAAACTATTAAAAAAGCAGTAACATCTCTTGAACATCGGAAGGTTGAAGTCTTTTGTTTTAAGCCATGTATTTATCCTATTTTACATTGAAATACATCACGTTTCAGCAAAACTAATATTTATTTCTGAATATATTTATTCAGGTGCAGTTTAGGTAAAATATACATGTGATGTAACAGTTTTTTAACTGAAAGCGATTGAAAAACACATACCCTCTACCCTGTTCAAGGAAGACTGGGAGGAGCTGTTTGGTGCTGAAAGCGATGACAAGGAAAATGATTTTGATGGATTTTTGAAAATATTCAGAAATATGGTATGTGTTATTTATTCAAGTGAATTAGGATAGAATATTACTGTAATACAACAGTAGTGACGATGTGGAGGAGGCGGAGGGATAGGCGGGGAGAGTGGTGGCGCTGGAGGCGGAGCATGGGCGAGTGGAGATGCCAGCCAGTACAGGTGTACAGTATTAATTGTTTTATAGCTCTTTTTGCATTTTAATATTAAATACTGTACATTACGTTTCAACAAATCTACTACAGTGAACCCTCACTTTACGGTCAATTGAACCCACGAGGCCAGCGTAAATAAAATGAACAACATAACATATGGGATTAAATGAAATAGAGACCGGCTGACCCCCAAACTCCACTTTTTCGACACAATACCTATGTTCTAGTAAAAATAACATCTTAATTTTATGATGGTACATGCACACAATTAATACTTAAGAGAAATAGAAATACAATCGCCAAGTTAATGTCCATTCAAATAATGGACTCAAGTCTCCCCTCTTCTCACACTACACTCGCTGGCTCTTCCTCTCTAAAAATTTTTTGGGGAAAACCACTAGATTTTAAGGTATAATAAATAATACCTCAAACTAAAGTTAGGATAATATAATTATTGCTGGATTCCTTGTAAGACCAGGAATATTTTGAATATAATTGTCATATATTTTTGCACAAAAGATAACATATTTACTCAGAGTAAACAAAATACTTACATTAGATCTAAAATTTGTATGTCTAATGCAAAATCTATGATGTTTATATTCAAAATGATCAACAAATTGCAAGAATTCCAGCAATGTAAATTATATTCTGGCAGGAAGTAATTTGTATGAATTTTTGAGCTAAAACAAATATCTTCAGTTAATAAAAAAAATAATAATCTTCACAACACTATCTGTCAATCAAGTACCCCACCTTGCCTCCCCTCTTCCATGGCAAGATGGTCGGTCGGTCCCTCCCTCCCCCAGCCCCACCAACCCTCCTACCAGATAAATGTTTGGGAGAAAGAATATTTACCTTTTAGTAATAAATAAT